ATATGTATTGTATATATATATGTTATATATATGTATATGTGTGTGTATATATATATGTATTATATATATATGTGTGTGTAATATATATGTATATATATGTGTGGTGTATATATATGTATTGTATATATGTATATGTGTGTGTATATATGTATTGTGTGTATAATATGTATATATATATGTGTGTGTATATATATGTATATATATATGTGTGTATTATATATTGTATATATATGTGTGTGTATATATATGTATATATATGTGTGTGATATATATGTATATATATATTGTGTGTATATATATTGTATATATATGTGTGTATGTGTATATATGTAGTGTATATATGTATATATATATGTGTGTGTATATATATGTATATATATGTGTGTGTATATATATGTATGTATATATGTGTGTGTATATATATGTATGTATATATGTGTGTGTATATATATGTATGTATATATGTGTGTGTATATATATGTATGTATATATGTGTGTGTATATATATGTATGTATATATGTGTGTGTATATATATGTATGTATATATGTGTGTGTATATATATGTATGTATATATGTGTGTGTATATATATGTATGTATATATGTGTGTGTATATATATGTATGTATATATGTGTGTGTATATATATGTATGTATATATGTGTGTGTATATATATGTATGTATATGTGTGTGTATATATATGTATATATATGTGTGTGTATATATATGTATATATATGTGTGTGTATATATATGTGTGTGTATATATATGTGTGTGTATATATATGTATATATATGTGTGTATATATATATATGTACTGTATATATATGTGTGTATATATATATATGTACTGTATATATGTGTGTATATATATATATGTACTGTATATATATGTGTGTGTATATATATATATATAGATATATAGATTTTTATACATATACGTATATATGCAAAATTTGTTTTTCACATTTTCAGTTTTTATATTTTATTACCATGTGCATCAGGATGGGTTTTGATTGCTGAATTTCCTAATAAGCAATGTCTGTAACACGTTTCCGACATGTACTGGATGAATATGTCTCGGCTATTGGGAAATGTGTCCTCAGTCTTTAGGAAGCCACAAGATTGCTGCTTTATAACTCTAGAATCCGTCATGAAGCGCACGCAGAAAATGGCCCAACTTTCAGTATATATAACAAAAGGTTATGATTGAATGCTCCTCCTGCAAGAAACCCTGGAGAGGGGCTCAGAATTTCTTCTTTTAGGGGTCAGTCTGTGAATTATTTGATGGAATTTAAAATGCTGTACAAGGAGCCCTTGGTTTATGGTCGAGGTCCGATCCTGAGTCTGTAGCGAAAAGTGCAAAATTGTAAAGCGAGACATTCCCAGAAATGATAACTAAAAACAAGTTGTTCCCTAACCTCCCTCCCAGACTCCATGACCCACAAAAGGTACAAAATTAATTGAATTTGGTTAAATGAAAACTAACTGAATGACAGAAATTGTGTAAATTATGAAAGACAATAAATGCTTTTTTTTTTTTTTCTTCTTTTTTTTTTTAACAATGCTTTTTGCTGCCGCCTTTCCTTTTCCTTGTACAGTTCTTCATAACAGTGAAAACCTTCTCGGACATTGTAATCCTGACCCTGTTTGGGTCATCATCATCAATAGTCTGTGGTGCAAAAGCTTGGCAAGCGTTATTATAGTCAGTTCTTTAGGATGGTCTTTTCCTTCTTCATAAACCAGTTTTGTCCTTGGCTGTATTGTCATAAGACTCATTGGAATGTTGTAATGGCTTCTGGATTGCAATCCATGTAGTCGGCATTTTCCATCCTTTCAAAGTGCTAAGAGGAACCTAAGCTAACTGTCTTCTTTTTCTCATTGTTCACCTAGATTGTTTGCAGATTTGAGTGCCAGAATTTAAGTACTGTGACATCATTGTCAAAGCCCTGTGTAACAGTTTTTCATAGGAAGTGATATAATGTACTTTTTTTTTTCTTTTTCTTGATATCTTCATTACTTGTTGTCCATTTGGGAGCTATTTTTGATGTCAATATCTCAAAAGTGTAACAGTTTCAGTGAGAAGAGGTAAGAGCACCAACGGTTAGTCCCTGCCTGGGAATTAGGGGGGGGGGGGCACAAGTATTGTTCAAATTCCTGAGAACTGCACACTGGAGCATCAAACCTTTGCTCGAAAATGCCATTATTTTGAATCGTTTGTAGCATTTAAAAAATTAGCAAAAAAGAATTCAAAAATAAAAAGTAAGGTGAAATACTGAAAACAGGGACCATAAAACAAGGATTACCTGTGCTTATCTAGCTTTGGGATTTATTTAACATTGTTTTTGCTTTTGTGGTTTTTGTATAAAATTATCAGTTTATATCATTATCTCTCCCACTCCTCCCCCCCCTCCCCTCTCTCTCTCTCTCTCTCTCCTCTCTCTCTCTCTCTCTCTCCTCTCTCTCTCTCTCTCTCTCTCTCTCTCTCTCTCCCTCTCTCCCTCCCTCCCTCCCTCCCTCCCTCCCTCCCTCCCCCCCTCCACCCCATTACTAAATTGCATTTGTTCATTATGGTTTTATTTTAATAGATAGGAAAGTACATTTCCTTTTTAAGCAGCCCATATATTGAAGGTTCTTAGTATGATAATTTACTGGTGAGTAATGAAAGTTTGATAGGCAAGGAAAATAATGCCAAAAGATAAGCAGATAACTCATGGACTAATAGATTGTATTTATAATCCATTATAATCCCTTTCTCTCAGCACCATTCTCAGTTTGCAAGGACTGCTAAATTCCAAGGAACTTTGCTAGTCCACATGAATTGCATTATTAAGCATAAGCCTGAAAAAGTCTACACTTAAACTCGAGTATCTTCCACAAGCAATGTTTTAAATCAATAAATCTACCCTAATATCTATACAAAACAAAATATTTTCACCTTGTTGCATATACAGTGCCCCAGAAACAGTTACACAAACCTCCGATTGGCAACTCTGACAAAACAAATGGAAATTACCATCAGTAGAATAGTCCCTTGAGACCAACAAACACGTTCCTAGTGTATTCTGACAAGGTTATGTTTGTAGATCTCTCCCTGGGAATTAGTCTCATAAAGATTGATTTCATGCTCTACACTTTCAGTAAGATTATACCAATGTTAAATCTTGGAATATACAAAGAGAAGTTAATTGCCTTTGCCAGAGTGCCAAGCATTGCATCATCAGCAATCACTGATTGCTGTATTATTACTGATGATACTGATGAATTTTAATCTTTACACATTTCTGTAATGGGAAAAAGCAACAACATAATGAAATGTGGCATTAGTGTAGTGGGGTGGCATGCCTACATTAGGCACCAAGAGGCAGCTGTCCTACCCTGCCTCCTAATCACTTCACATGGATATGATATCTTTAATTCTAATTCAAGAGAAGCTTTTCATTGATTTAAAGTTGTTTTGGCATCCTCTTGCATGGAGTGATTCTCCTTTGCTGCAACCTTACCCAGTTGTACCTATTGACAGTACATATACTCTTTTTCTTTCCATGTATAACTTTATCCTTGGCTTGTTTTATATGAATAGATGTTTAAAAAAATATATATATATTTTTTTTTTTTCTTCCAGCCAATTTATTCATGCATTGCCCAGCTTTTCCTCATAGTAACATCACTAATTTTAAAAAGGCTCAGCCATTACTTGCTTTACGTATTTCCTGAAATATGAAATACACTCACCATTTTCCATCCTGTTTTGTTAAAGTATTTCTGTATTTCCTGTAGGCATTTCATGGACGGTGAGCTGCACTTGCATTGCATTTAATGGGGGGGGGGGGGGATTTTATTATTTTTATTTTATTGACTTTCAAGATTTATTTATTATGACATGGCCTTAGTTCACAAGGGTTATGATAAGATATGTAAAGGATATCTTCTCATTGGATATATTAGTTAAGACTTCAAAATTTAAATTTAGGTCACTTTTCTTTTCTTTTATGACAGCATAATGTTAATAAGTTCTTTTCTTCTGTTATCCAGTTATTCCGCCTTTACGATCATAGTCAGTTACTTTATCATTACCAACACTTCATAGTAGCAGCTAATATACATAGGAAAGCCATTATAGTTCTTGCTCTCTCTTAGTCTGCCAGTGTTCTAGTTCTATAGGTACTTGCATTACAGTTGTTAGTTATTGAAATATTACTAATGCTATTACTATTATTACTACTACTGTTACTAGTGATACTAATAGTAGAATTGTTACTGAGGTTATGAACGTCTTTGATATTTTTTTTTTTTCTCTTTCGCATCCGTTGATATTAGCAACCAAGTGATCACTATTGGTTTTGGTCGCTGGAAAAAATGATTGGCAAATTGCTATTGCTCTTTAGACCATGATCATATTTTGCCATAATCATGTGAGCATTATCATTGTCTAATGTAACCTCTATATCATGTCTCATTAGTCCACCTGGCAGCAGGTGGTGGGTCAGTTGTTTCTTTTCCTTTGGTTATTATATTTCTCCTTCAGTTTTTATTTCTTTTCTTTCTTTTTCTTTCTTTCCTTCGATTTTCATTATTGTTGAGCTTTAGCTGAATGTTGAATGAATGTGAATAATTTTGGTGAACCCTGAGAGGGTAACTGATCTTTTTATTGCACTAAAAAGTTGTACAGTTTGTGTGAATTTAGTGTTGAAAGTATTTAAGTGTTGTAGTGTCCAGTGATAGCTTTGGGATTTTTAGTATATAGTTTTGATAGTTGGTTCTATTCACAGCATTTTTCAGGTGTTTACTCACTGATAATGTCTTTTGAGTTTGGTACAGTTTTCAAATAGATAACTTGCCAGAGTGACATTAATTGTAGAAGTCATTTAAATTTTCAACCATTATAAATATGAGTGCTCATTTCACATAATGGTGAATAATTCCTTGATATGAATAACTATTTTTTAAATATCAGTATTTAAAAAATTGATCGACTTGAAGTTTTGTGTGACCCCCAGGTAAGTGCGTAGGCCCTCCTGCCTTTTGGGGTATCTACAGTCCTCCGTTACCTTATGGTATCATGCAGCAAGGTAACACGCACTTACTCTTAAGGCTTTTGTCCTACTGACCTTGCCATTACTGTATGTGGAGAGTCAAGGAAGGAGTAATGACTGTAGTGTAACTTTCTTGAGAGTATCTGCTCTATGAGTGATGAGACCAGAAAGGGCTCTGCTTGCTGATACTATATACAGTTTCTTTACGTCATTTTTTTTTTTTTTTTTTTTTTTTTTTTTTTTTTTTTTTACGTATAATTTTCCAGTTTTCTGCCTCCTTTTTTATATATTTATTTGATATTATTTATTTTGCCTTCTGTTACAAAGGGAAAATTGATTATGATGAGAGAAAGAGAGAGATTGCGAGATTGTGAGCAAGAGAGATTACGAGATTGCAAGATTGCGAGAGAGAGAGAGAGAGAGAGAGAGAGAGAGAGAGAGAGAGAGAGAGAGAGAGATTGCAAGATTGCTAAGGCTAATTAAAATAATCCCCATATTTTAGAAAAAGTGGGTCTGTTTCTCAAGGCCAATATTTTCAAAAGGGGTATTGTAATGTCGGGCCTTAACTTCAAGTAATCATTAATGGGACGTATCCCCCTCACCCTTGATATTATATTTTAAGAGCAAAAGTTGATGGTTATATTTTGAGTTATGCCCTCCCCCCCTCTTTGCCAGTGTCAGAAGTGTTTTCACTTTTCATGGTCTTTGTAGTGTTATTTTGTGTTGCTTTGTAAATAGGTTGAGTTTTTTTTTATTTTTTTATTTATTTTTATTTTTATTTTTTTTATTTTTTTTTTTTCTCTTCCTTTTGGTGCTTTTTTCTGTTACTAAGCAAATGCTATGGGAGTCATGGGTAGGGCTTTTATTGACATAATAACTATTAACATGCATAGTAAATGAACCTTCATGAAAAATTGACTTCATGAAAGATACCAATTATTGTAAAACTGATTTGTTTTCAAAGTGTGTGAGGTAAGATGTTGATAAAGACCTTATTGTAATATTTCCACTTAGTTGCTGTCATTAAAATGCAAATCTGTCGACTGAAGTTCATATAGACAGCTATGGCTTTGGTAGAGAATGCCGTATGTTCCTGCACAATACTCATGAATTACTGGGTTGCAATGCAGGTGGACGGAGGAACGGGGACTACCAGCCAAGTTATCAGCAGAGAGATAACAGAGGAGGAGGTGGTGGCTACAGGAGCAATGATGGTCAGCGCTTCAGGGATCATGATGACCGCTGGAGGGGAGGACGAGGAGACAACCGCAGGTGAGGCAGGAGCAAATGAAATTTGCTTGGGTGATGTGATTAGATTTTTTTTTCTAATACAAAATGAAAATATGATAAGATAAAACAAAATGGATGACAATGTCTTAATAGTTTATCTACTTTATTCATACCAAAGTCTTCTATAAAGTAGTGGTCATTAAATAAATTTTGTATTTCCTATTTTTGCAAAGGTCTTCCAATTTATCCTATTTTGAAAGTATCTCTTTCTATGGCATCCCGCTCATCTTCACAAAAATTTGTATGAACTTGTAAGGAAGTGAACATGATAAAAAAAAATTCATCATTGTTTGCTTCCTTGTCTAGAAAGGGGATGACCATGTTTTCTAAATATTCCAAATAATCATGAACAATGATATCACTTCAGGGATGACCGCCGGGGTTACGAAGACCGTCGTGACATAGGAGGGAGTGGCCCTCCGCGCAATAATAGATGGATCGAAGATGATCGTGACCGCTCTTCGGGTGGCCAGGGAGGCGGCCGATGGCAGGACCGTGGAAATGACAGAGACGACTGGTCACAGCCTCTTGCCAGGAATGAGGTCCTTGAGGCAGAACTCTTCAATAATGTAGGTCCATCAGTAAGTGTTTGTATCTGAATGCATCTTTTTCACAGAAGCCAAATAAGTTCTCTTTTTTGATAAGTTTTGGAGCAAAAGCATCCAACGTCAAGTTTATTTTACTTTTTGTACATATTTGTAAATGTATATTTTGTTTGGCTGTGACAGTTCAGAGAGAAGATGCATCTCATCCAAACTCATAATCACCAGTCTGCTCACTCATAACACTTAAGAAAGAGAGTATTTCAATTTGTCAAAATTCTTTTGAGCTAGAAGACTTGGAATTATGTAGTATCTATATTTATGAATTATGATTTTGTCTAGTCATTTATGTTCAGACAAAATTTCAATTCCATCAAAATTTTTGTTATTGTATACTTATTTTTAATTGATATTTGGTTTTTAATGTCTCCCTCACATTTCAGATTAAATTTTGATCACAGGGGTGCTACAGTTAGCACAAAACTCCTCTGTAGATAGGTCATTGCATCGGGAATAAATCCCCCGAACTAAGTACATGAATAACTTTTAGCAGATTAATTAATATGCGGGTGTGCCAGTTGGATAGTTAGCTTACTATTCATGCAAAGAATGTGACTGTGGAGGCATTTTCTTGAGTCAGGTTATTCACAAGAGAGAGAAAACTAAAAGAATACTCCAGTTTTGAGTGAGTTATGCTCCTGAGGCAGGAAGACACAAATCCTCAGTGCAACTTCCACTTGCTTGCTAGGGAAGGGACAGCCATAACGGACTGTTGTAATGATGAAGGAGATCTTAAGCTGCAATACTTTCCTCAACATCACTCATGGTATGGATGATGAATGGATGAGTAAATGGCAAGGCACTCCTTCACAGTTGAGCGAACCTTCATGCTGTCGCAATTTGGCGGATGCGCAGGAAATTCTCGGAACGGGAACTTGCAGCCCAGGAGAGGGAGGATGTCGAGCCATACTGAGAAGCTGTAACAGGTCAACAGATCTTCCAACAGCTGTCTCTCTCTCTCTTTCTCTTTCTCTTTGCTTTTTCTCTTTCTCTTTCTCTTGCTTTTTCTCTTTCTCTTTCTCTTTCTCTTTCTCTTTTTTTCTCTTGCTTTTTCTCTTTTTTTCTCTTGCTTTTTCTCTTTCTCTTGCTTTTTCTCTTTCTCTTGCTTTTTCTCTTCTCTTTCTCTTGCTTTTTCTCTTCTCTTTCTCTTGCTTTTTCTCTTCTCTTTCTCTTGCTTTTTCTCTTCTCTTTCTCTTGCTTTTTCTCTTCTCTTTCTCTTGCTTTTTCTCTTCTCTTTCTCTTGCTTTTTCTCTTCTCTTTCTCTTGCTTTTTCTCTTCTCTTTCTCTTGCTTTTTCTCTTCTCTTTCTCTTGCTTTTTCTCTTCTCTTTCTCTTGCTTTTTCTCTTCTCTTTCTCTTGCTTTTTCTCTTCTCTTTCTCTTTCTCTTGCTTTTTCTCTTCTCTTTCTCTTGCTTTTTCTCTTCTCTTTCTCTTTCTCTTGCTTTTTCTCTTCTCTTTCTCTTTCTCTTGCTTTTCCTTTCTCTTTCTCTTTCTCTTGCTTTTCCTTTCTCTTTCTCTTTCTCTTGCTTTTCCTTTCTCTTTCTCTTTCTCTTGCTTTTCCTTTCTCTTTCTCTTTCTCTTGCTTTTCCTTTCTCTTTCTCTTTTATCTTTCTCTTTTTCTGTCTCTCTGTCTCTCTCTCTCCCTCCCTCCCTCCCTCCCTCCCTCCCTCTCTCTCTCTCTCTCTCTCTCTCTCTCTCTCTCTCTCTCTCTCTCTCTCTCTCTCTCTCTCTCTCTCTCTCTCTCTCTCTCTCCCTCTCCCTCTTTATCTTTCTTTCTCTTCTCTTCTCTTCACTTCTCTCTCCCTCCTTCCCTTCTCTCTCCCACTCCCTCTCTTTCTCTTCTCTCTCCCCTGCCTTCTTTCTTTTTCATTCTTTTTTTTTTTTTTTTTTTTTCTTTTTCTTTTTCTTTCTTCCTTTCTCTTTTTCTTTCTATCGCTCATTCGCTCGCTCTCAGGACCTAACTTCCAAACTTGAGCTACAGTGCTAAATTCTTTTAAACAAGAAGTCTTGCATATTTAAAGCACCCCATACAGCATATTGAGACTCCAGCATATGGCCTCCACTTATGTTCCAGCTTTTAGGCTCGTCTTTTAGAATTTGGAAAAAAAAAAATAGAATTATTGAAGAGTGAAAAAAGGCTCTCAACAAACTCTTAAGGGGATATAATGTTTTTTGTTTTACTTGTCCAGTGGTTTATATCCCATGACAGTTGAGTACATGCAGTTGTTCACAGTACTTAACAATTTTTCTTTTTGCATCCTTTGGCATAAGGGTGTGAAAAAAATGTTCTTCAAAATTGGTTATTTCTCCTCTTGAGAATATTACATATCTGGCACAGAAGCACAAGTGCAGAAGTTTGCCTGTATGATACTCTTGAACTATACTTTGTACATGTATAATTATATGCTTGTACATGTTTAAAGATTTTATTTTAAAGGTAATGGCCAGAGGTGGGAGATAATACCCAGTTTGTCAAAATTATTCTTAGGTATCAAAATGTGAAATAATCAAGGAGTGATTTGGTCAATACTTTGTAATATCTGCTCCAAAAGAAATGTATTCAAATTTTGGGAAAGCACAGGAAGCCTTGATGAAATTACAAAGATACTGTGATTGTCTATTTATTTGGTTTACACATGGATGACTCCCCCCCCCCCCCTCATTCTCATTTTCTCTCTCTCTCTCTCTCTCTCTCTCTCTCTCTCTCTCTCTCTCTCTCTCTCTCTCTCTCTCTCTCTCTCTCTCTCTCTCTCTCTCTCTCATTCTCTCTCTCTCTCTCTCATTCTCTCTCTCTCTCTCTCATTCTCTCTCTCTCTCTCATTCTCTCTCTCTCTCTCATTCTCTCTCTCTCTCTCATTCTCTCTCTCTCTCTCATTCTCTCTCTCTCTCTCTCTCTCTCTCTCTCTCTCTCTCTCTCTCTCTCTCTCTCTCTCATTCTCTCTCATTCTCTCTCATTCTCTCTCTCTCTCTCTCTCTCATTCTCTCTCTCTCTCTCATTCTCTCTCTCTCTCTCTCATTCTCTCTCTCTCTCTCTCATTCTCTCTCTCTCTCTCTCATTCTCTCTCTCTCTCTCTCTCTCTCTCTCTCTCTCTCTCTCTCTCTCTCTCTCTCTCTCTCTCTCTCTCTCTCTCATTCTCTCTCTCTCTCTCTCATTCTCTCTCTCTCTCTCTCTCTCTCTCTCTCTCTCTCTCTCTCTCTCTCTCTCTCTCTCTCTCTCTCTCTCTCTCTCTCTCATTCTCTCTCTCTCTCTCTCTCTCTCTCTCTCTCTCTCTCTCTCTCTCTCTCTCATTCTCTCTCTCTCTCTCATTCTCTCTCTCCCTCTC